TGTTAAATAAGTAGATTTTAGCTACTTCTGTCCCAAAAATATATGTGAGGTGATAAATATGTTAATTTGCTTCGCTGTAAGTAACCATTTTACTATCTGTATGTAGCCAGTACTATTACGTTATAAACTTCAAACATACCCAATAGAATTGTTCTTAAAAAGATATAATGGCCCAACATTTTCCAAATTTGGTGGAAACTGAAAATCCACAGATCCGTTGGTTGGTGAACACTGTGTGTAAAAAAACATGAAGAAAACTATACCAAAAAAGGCCATAGTCTAAATTGCTTCAAACGAATCAAAAAGATCTTAAAAGCAACGGAGAACAAGAACTCATTATATACAGTGGAACAAAGATAAGGATGACAGAGGAAGTCTCATTGTCCAGAAGACAGTGAAACAAATCTTCAAAGAACGGAAGGACCAAATGATTAACCTAGAATTCTGTATCTAACAAAAATATCTTTCAAAAACTAAGGTGAAATAAAAACGTTTTCAGACATACAGAAGCTGAAATAATGCATCACCAGCTGACATGCATTATAAGAAATGTTACAAGAAATCTTTAAGGCAGAAGTACCGTGATACCATATGAAGACCTGAATCTACATAAGTATATGAAAAACAGTGGAAGTGTAAATATGTGTGTGGGGAATTATTTTTTAAAACCCTCTCTTCATTATTTAAAACTTAAAAAAGGATTGACTCTTTAAAATGAAAGTAATAAGCATATATTGTGGGGGGTAATAAATATATAGAAGTAAATATATGAAACAGCAGCACAAAAGGCCAAGAAAGGAGAAATGGAAGTTTGCTATTTTAATGTTCTATTGTTCTAAGGAAGCAGGATAATAGTGCTTACTGGTAGACTGTGATAAGTGAAAAATGCATAATGGAAACCATGAATAAGCCACAAAGGAGTCAAAATGAAATCATTTTTTAAAAGCACAAAATAAGGCAGAAAAGGAAGTGAAAGCAATAAAGCACAGATAGGAAAAATGATAAACAGATACCAATATGGTTGATTTAAATCCAGCCCTATCAGTAATCATATTACATATAAATAGTCTAAACATCCCTATTAAAGGGCAGAGCTTGTCAGTTTGGAAAAAAAGGAAGATTTGAGTATATGCTGCCTACAAGAAATTTTCATTAAATGCAAAGATACAAATGGGTATTAAGGAGAAGTATGGAGAAAAGTTTGGAGAAAGATATGCCATACTACCACTAATCATAGAAAGCTGGCGTGGCTGTGTTAATATGAACCAAAGTACCTCTCATAGTAAAGAATATTATTAAAGATTAAGAAGATCATTTCATAATGAAGTGGTCAGTTCATCTGAAAAACATAAAGTCTTACATGTTTATATACATAGTAATAGAGCTTCAAAATACATTAAGCAAAAACTGATAAAATTGCATGTACAAATAAATCTACAATTATGTTGATGAGAATGTGAACAACTGGAAGTCTTATGAACTGCTGGCGGAAATGTAAAATAGCACAATCCCTTTGAAAAACAGTTTGGCAGTCTCTTTAAAAAGTTAAACATATATCCTACCACATGAACCAATATTCTATTCCTAAGTATCTACCCAGGAGAAACAAAAGCATATTTTCATATAGAGACTTGTACAGATTTATTTAAAATAGACCCAAAGAAAATAGCAGCATAAAATAGTATTCCATTTATGGATATACCACATTTGTTTATCCATTCACATGTAGGGTCTACTATTTAAAATAGGGTTCTCTAGAGAAATAGAACTAGGTGTGCATGTGCACCCCCGTGTGTGTGTGTGTGTGTGTGTGTGTGTGTGTGTGTGTGGAGAGAGAGAGAGAGAGAGAGAGAGAGGCAGGGAGAGAAAAATGTACTTATTATGAGGAATCAGCTCATGTAAATATGGCTGAGAATCCCATGATCTGCTCTCTGCAAACTGCAAACCCATGGAAGCCAGTGGTGTAGTCTGAAGTCCTGAGAGGTGGATTCCAGTCTGAATCTGAAAGCTTGAGAACCAGGGGCTTCAAGGATGGGAGAAGATTGATGTTCCAGCTCATGCAGTCAGGCAGAGGAAGCCCAAATCCAATCTTCCTCCATCTTTTTATTCTATTCAGGCCTTCAACAGATTGGAACATGCCCACCCATATTGGGGAGGGCTGCCTTACTGTCCACCAATTCAAATATTAATCTCTTCGTGAAACACCCTTCGTACACACCCAGAAATAATGTTTAACCAGACATCTGGGGTATCTGTGGCACAGTCAAGTTGATGCATAAAATTAACCATTACAGTATGTTCTAAGCCAGGCGTCCCCAAACTTTTTACACAGGGGGCCAGTTCACTGTCCCTCAGACCGTTGGAGGGCCGCCACATACTGTGCTCCTCTCACTGACCACCAATGAAAGAGGTGCCCCTTCCTGAAGTGCGGCAGGGGGGCGGATAAATGGCCTCATGCGGCCCGCAGGCCGTAGTCTGGGGGCGCCTGTTCTAAGCAGTGAAGTGAGTTCTGGCTGAGTAGTACAGAGTGGGCACTAAAAGTGGTGAGACATGAGGCAGGAGAGGAAAAGCAAGAACCTGATGGTTATGGAGCCTACACCTCATCCTGAGGGTGATGGCTGCACATGAAAGGGTTTTGAGCAGGTGGAGACATAATTAGGCATGCCTTTTTGAAAGATCAGTCCCATTGCAGAGTGAAGAATGGTTGTCAGAAGCAGAGAGACCAGTAGAAAGCTGTTGTAATACTTTTGGTGAGAGAGTTGGTGGCTTGTGCTAGCGCAATGCAGTTGATAAATCCAAGAGGAGGAATCAGCAGGTCTTCAGCATGTTTAATGGCTGATGGTACCGAGCCAGGGCAGAAGAGTTTGACAGTTCACAAAGGGGAAGAGACGAATCTGGAATACCAGCAGAGGCGCTTTCTTTAGAAATGAGGGGATATAGTTCTTCTAATGTAATGGGAAAGAGGAAGGAAAGGTTGGGCAGAGCTGAAATCAGCTTGCAGCTGGCTGGCAGGAGGTTGAGGAACCAGCCATCTCAGGACTTTAATCCTCACAGCAGAGAAGGCAGAGTCATCCATTGAGAATGAGAGGAGAAATGTGGCAGGGCCAGAGGTTTAAGGGAGAGTAGAGATTTGAAAGACCTGTTACGGAGAATGAGACAACACAGATGAGGGACATAGGAATTATTTCTTAGCCTTGAGGCTGGTTGAGATTGAGTATCATGCAATTGCAGTGGTTGTAATTAAAGTTCTTGAGTTTCATTGATCAACATTCAATACCCAAGTATATGCATTGGGATTGATGAAGACCAGGGCTTTGTCAGGCACGTGTGACGTGCACGTGAGAGGGAGCAGTCGAAATGACAGACCAGGTGCTGCGAAGGAAAGGTATGGAAAGCTAGGGCCATTTAAACATGCCAGAGCTTTGCTGATTCTTCCTCTCAAATCCATCCACACCGGGACAGTAGTTGGAGCCACTGTCATCTCGTGAATAACCTCTCTGGAGTCTCAGATCTCCCTTTAATTATTTGGAAAAAGAGTGGAAGCTTCTTTTCCTTCTCTTCCTGCCTTCGTCCATCACCCGCTTCCCCTTGTTTTGCCTCAGTTGAAGAACTCCACAAGGTTCCACATGACAGCCAAGGGGATGGAAGCAGAGGATCAGCAGATGAAGTCATCTGACCACAGTTTCATATTTAATAATCCCCTCAGAACTCTATGAATGTGGAGATCATTGTATTCTCTTGGCATAAAGGAATAGGCCCAGGGATGTTAAGCCAGTCTGTCTGACTCCAAAGCCTCTACTTTTTTCCTCACAAAATAGATATTTGTTCACAGGAGAGTGTCTGGTTTGGGAAACCATGGGCAGTGCTAGGGGACTGATGAAAAGCATGGTCTTTGGAGTCCAAAAGACTGCAGGAGGAAATCACCTAATTTCTTTGTGAGTTGGTTTCATCCATAAAACGAAGCAGTGAGTACTTTGTTAGTGATGTTGTGGGCCTGCGTTAATTCTCATACAGTGATTAACACAAAATACTAATTCTGTAAATGACAGCTTGGAAAAAGAAAAATGTCATCGCAAGTTCAGAAGCAAGGCTGACTTACTCATCTCAGACAAACCATTGGTTCCAACTGACTGCAGATGGACAAACTCTGCCCACAGTTACCGTTCTGCTGAAATAGCTGATTCCAAAAATAACAATTCAAGTTACTGAAAAGAAATATTGAAATAAGAGTCCCACATATATTAGGGTTAGGATATGTTGATTTCACGAGGAATACAACAGATTTCTTAGATGTGTATTTCTTTAAATCATGTGGCATATTGTTTTAGTCAAAGAACACTTGGCTAGTTCACATTAGCTCAAGGAAAGCGAGTTGACCGAAAAATACAGGAGGCACCTTATGGAACTTACAGGCAGAAAATATAGCTGGGTCTCCTGGGGACCAGAAAACGAGTCAGAAACAGAAGGTGCTGCCTTTGTCTTTTACAGCCTCCCTAGTTTCTGGTTTAATTGTTTTGCAGCATTCTACACCATGAGACAGCATTTTATACTTTAGTTGCTTGAGGTATTTGAATAGGTGCTGGGCACCCACTGGGTCTGCTGATCTTTGTGGCTCGTGTGGTTGGAGTCGCTGTGCTAAATGTGGGCCCTCATGCCTACCTTTTAGCAGAAGATAAAGGTTTGCAGCAGAAGATACAGATGGATCTGTAGGGAAGAGCAGACACAGAAAGCCTGCCAGTTATTCATATTTGTAGTTGTAATATGAAAAAGAAGGAAAGATCTAGAAATTAGTTGTGTCTTTTCTGAAGTCTGGTAGCGCAGGTCCCTGAACTGAAAGCTGCAGCATCACTTGGTGGCAGAGTGCCCGCTAACATGCTAAGATTTAATGAGAAAATAATTCTTTTGATAGTTGATCCTGTAAAGCTGAAGTTACGTTTGCTGTTGTCACTTTATAATAAGTATTAAATATTAATCTTCATGTTATTTTGAATGTCTTCCAGAGATATGAAGACTATGGAATGACTCCCCCAACGGGTCCATTGTCAAGGTAAGGTTTTCAAAACAGGATGTATTACCACTTTTTCACATAGGCTGTTTTTAAAAATTTTATAAATTCACTAATTTTAGCTAATATGAGCACATACAAAACTCTGAGTTGTATATTCTCTTGATCTAACCAGAAGAGGAAGGAAAAAAAGTTGGAATTTAAGTTCTGCTTCCAGTAATGACAGACTAGGTCATTTGGACCAACCCTCCTGCTGAGGACAACTGGAAAAGCTGAACAAGATATTAACGTTAAAAACCCCAGAGAGGATTTTGGTCGAGCTTGGGCCAGCATGGCGACGCTCATGTAACCCGGTCTGTGCCGCAAAGGGGATGGCGGCCGCAGCGCGCACCCCGCGGAGGTGAGCGGTCACCATGCTGAGGGCTGCGTGGAGGGCGCTGAGTTTGATTCAGGCCCCAGTTCCCGGGCTGCTGGGCAGTGGGAGTGCCAGGTTTCATTCCAGCCAGCAGGGCTTGCAACCTCAAAGTCTCCTCCTCCGGGCCGTGCAGCAGGTATGTCATCCAGAAACCAGCCCAGCCAGGCGAGATGATGACCCACCTCCTTCTACGCTGCTCAAAGACTACCAGAATGTCCCTGGAATTGAGAAGGTTGATGATGTTGTGAGAAGACTCTTGTCTTTGGAAATGGCCAACACAAAGGAGAAGCTAAAAGTCAGGCAAGAACAGTTGATGAAAATTGCTGCAAACCCTGAGGACACCAGATCCTGGAGGTGAGAATTGTTGCCTTGATCATCAACATCAGCAGTTATGAAGAACACCTGCAGAAACATTGAAAGGACAAAGCACACAAACGCTATTTGCTGATGAGCATTGACCAGAGGAAAAAGATGCTCAAAAACCTCCGTTAACACCAGCTGTGATGTCTTTGGGAAGGTTTTCCAGGAAACTCAAAAGCTGGAGAAGCAGAAAAGGGCCTTAAAGCCTCTTTAACAAGCAAAGCAGAGGAACAAAACGAACAAAGCAGAGGAACCCAGACAGTCCTACCAAAGCCGGACCAGAGACACTCAGAGACAACCAATAAATTGTTTGATCATTTAAAGAAAAAAAAAGTTAACAGGGCAGTGAAGCGGTGTAGGACCAAGATCCAGGAAACCCAGAAGCATGAGCCCTGCTTCTTGGGCCACTTTTCCCCCAGGGACACCTGCAGATTCCAGAAGAGGCAGCTGGGAAGCCAGGCAAAGCCTTTGACAGACTCCTGGGGCTGGGAGCACGAGGGGAGACCCTGGCAAACATCCAGAGCTTTGAGTTTGGACCTTTAGGGCTTACGCTCTAGGAGTAAGGGTGAGTCATAAGTAGATCAGTCCCTGCAGGCAGTGTTTGAAAGTGGATTGGTGTTGCTCCCTGGCAGAAACAAATGAACACCCCTTTTAGAAGAAGATAACGTCACTCTGGGCCTTACATTATTGCTATAGTAGCTCCCTGCTTCTACACACACACCCACGCCCACACCCAGGCATATGAGAAGAAAAGAAAATACAGTTTGTTTTTTTTTTCAATTAAAAGAAATAGACAATAGAAGCAGAACTACAGGGGATCCAGACAGTGGAGTCATCAGACACAGATTTTAAAATAATTACACTCAGGCTTAATATGGAGCTAAGGTCCATTGTCCAGGAAGATGTAAATGTACTACTTTAGGTTAGACTGTTATAAGTGAAGGATTCTAGTGTAGGTCTAGGCTCACTAAAAGAATGCTTAAATGTAAAATAATAAGGAAGAATAAAATAATCCAAAAGAAGGTAGAAAATAGGAGAAGAAAGAACTTAGAATTTGCAGGACATGCAGAAAGATAATTTTAAATGATAGATTTCTAAATCCAGATCTGTAATTAATTACATTAAATGTTAATAACCAGAGATTTCAATTAAAAAACAAAGGTTATTAGATTTGATTTTTAAAAAATATATTTGACTTATGAGAGACACATCAGAAAATACAAAGATACAGAAAGGATATAGAAGATTGGAACAACATGATTAATCAATTTGACCTAATTGATGTATATAGAACCCTGGACTCAACTGTAAAATGCATCTTCCTTTAAAATGTATTTTAAAAAATTTACCATATGCTGGACCATAACAAATCTTAACAAATTTCAAGAAGTGAAATCACGCAGAGTGTATTTATTAATCCTAGTAGAATTAACTTAGAACAAATCATAAAAGATAAAACCCAAGACTATAAAAACCTTGAAAGACAACCTAGGCAGTAGCATTCTGTACAAAGGAATGAGTAAAGATTTCGTGAAGACACCAAAAGCAATCACAGCAAAAGCAAAAATTGACATATGGGATCTCATTAATCTTAAGAGCTTCTGCACGGCAAAGGCTCTAGTTTGCAAATATTTTCTCCCATTCTATAGATTGTCTGTCCTATGGAATGGGAGAAAATATTTGCAAATTATGCGTCTGACCAAGGCCTAATACCTAGCATCTATAAGGAACTTAAATTTACAAGAAAAAGAACAAACGACCCCATTAAAAAGTGGGCAAAGGACACAGACACTTTTCAAAAGGAGACATACATGTGGCTGACAAACATGAAAAAAAGCTCAGTATCCCTGGTTATTAGAGAACTACAAATCAAAATTATAATGAGATATCACCTCATACCAGCTCAGAATGTCTATTATTAAAAGGTCAAAAATTACAGATGCTGGCGAGGTTGTGGAGCAAAGGGAATACTGTTGGTGAGGGTGTAAATTAGTTTAACCATTGTGGAAAGCAGTGTGGCGATTCCTCAAAGACCTAAAAACAGAACTACCAACTGGTGTCAGAAAACACTGGCACAGAGTGGATCCGGCACAGACCAGATTGTCACGGAAAAGATGCTTCATAAGATGTGTTTTGATTAGTATATTTAAATAAATGTAATGTAATTGATGTTAAAAAACAAACAAACAAACAACGAAACTACCTTTTGACCCAGCAATTCATTAATGGGTAGATACACAAAAGAATATAAATTGTTCAGCTGTAAAGAAGCATCCATGCAAATATTCCTGGAAGCAGTATTCACAATAGCAAAGACATGGAATCAACCTAAATGTCCATGAGTGACAGACTAGATAAAAAAAAAAAAAAAAAAAAGTGGTATGCATACACAATAGAATACTATGCAGCAATAAAAAAGAACAAAATCATGTCCTTTGCAGGAACATGGATGGAGCCAGATGCCATTATCCTTAGCAAACTAATGCAGGAACAGAAAACCAAATACAGCATGTTCTCACTTGTAAGTGTGAGCTAAATGACGAGAACTCACAGACACAAAGAGGGGAACAACAGACATTAGGGCCTACTTGAGAGTGGAAGATGGGAAGAGGGAAAGGAGCAGAAAGAGTAACTGTTGGGTACTAGGCTTAACACCTAGGTGATGAAATAATCTGTACAACAAACCCCTGTGGCATGAGTTTACCTTTATAACATACCTGTGCGTCTACCCCTGAACCTAAAATGAAAGCTGAAAAAAAAGAAAAGAAAAATTTCTATTTGCAAATTAATTAGTACTCTTCTAAATAACCTATGGTACACTGAAGAAATCAAAATGGAAATTGAAACATCCTAAAATGAATAGTAATGAGAATACAATGTATCAGAAGTTGTGAGATGCAGCTGTAGCAGTGTTTGGGGAAAATTTGTTGTCTTAAATGCATATATTGGAAAGAAAAGTGGCTGAAAATCAGTGATCTAAGCATCCACCTCAAGATATAAAAAAAGAAGATCCAATTAAATGGAAAGGAAGTAGAAGTAAAGAAATACTACTACTAATATAAATTAATGAAATAGAAAATAAATACCACATTAAGAGAGGATTAATAAAGCCAAAAGTTAGTTCTTTAAAAACTAATAAAATTGATGGATTCTCACAAGCTTGATCAAATAATCTGTGCAACAAATTATCAATAAGAGAAATTAAAAGGACGCTTAATCCAGATCTTACAGACATTAAAAAGGAGATTTTATAAACTCATTTTTCTTAATAAATTTGGGGCTGTATGCAGTGGTGCATGCTTGTAATCTCAGCTACTCTGGAGGCTGAGATGAGAGAATCACTTAAGCTCAGGAGTTTGAAACTACCCGGGGCAACATAGTGAGACCCTGTCTCAAATTTTTTTTTTTTTTCTTGGAACGGAAAAATTTCTAGAAAGAGAAAACTTGATTAGTTCTCTAACTATGTTTAAAGCAGAAATCATGATTACAGTTCTTCCTACAAACAAAACTCCAAGTCCAGCCGGCTTCAACAATGAATTCTACTAAAAACACTGAAGGAGGAAGAGGTACCAGGATTATACAAACTCTTCCACAAAATACAAAAAGAACACTTTTCAATTCCTTTTATAAAACCAAAATCTCCTTGATACCAGGGTCAAGGGCAAGAAGGACAAGGACATTGCAGGAAGGAAATTGAGGGCCAGTTTCTCATGAATGTAGATATAAAAAAATTGAAACTAAATATCAGTGAGCATAACTCAGCAGTAGATACAAAAGGATATCATGTTACAACCACATTGGATTTCTTTCCAGCAATGTAAGGGTGATTTAGCATTTAAAAACCAAGCAGTGTTAAGTTACTACTTTAAGGAGAATAAAGGAGGAAAAACTTGTGATTTCAATAGATGCAGCAGGTGGTAAAATTCAACATGCAATCATGGTAAAAATCTTAGCAAACAAAGAATAGAAGTGAACTTGTCTATTCTGATAAAAGGTATCTTGACAAATATTACTCAATAGTGAAATGTTAAAAAGCCTTCTCTCTGAGAGCAAGAACAAGTCAAACGTTCCTGCACATGACTTCTATTCACAATTACCCTGTAACAAGGCAAGAAAAGCATGAAAAGAGTAAAGAATTCAAAGAAAGGAGTAATACTGTTATTATTCACAGATGATATGATTCTGTAGTAGCAAATCCTAAAATGTCAACACACACAAATTGTTAGAATTTAGGGAATTTAGCAAAATTGCCAAATAGCAAGCCAACTAAATTGCAAAATAACTGGATATAAAGTTAGTCTACAAAAATCTGTTTTATATAAGCAGCAAACAGAAGACTTTTAAGCCCTCTAAAGAAAGATGTTCACAGATTGGCAACTCAATATTTTTAAAATGTTATTTCTCCTCCTATGATTTGTAGATTCAATACAATCCCATTCAGAATTTCAGTAATTTTTTTAATATGTGGAAACTGGCAGACAGATTCTAAAATTTATCTGGAAATGCAAAGGGCCAAGAATAGCCCAGACACCTTGAGAGAGAAGGAGAAGATGTTGGACCATTCTAAATGTTGTACCTTACTGTCACGTGATTAAGATGGTACAGCATTGCGGTGAGGCAAGGGAAATAGACCAGTCAACCACTATGTGTGGACATTGGTTTATTACAAAGCTGGCATTGCAGTAAAACAGAGTGAATCTCAGAAATCAAACCCAACCATCCCTTCAGTGACCAGAAGTCACACAGAAGAAGGAATGTTATCTGCTTCCTACCTTATTTTCTATTTTTTTAAAAATCCATCACCATTTTCAGAGCGGTTTGCTTTGCTTTTCTCCAGCCTTCCCTACCACACAGCTCTGTGGTCCAAAAGCAGTGAAGGTGACACTGGCAAGGTGAGGTCAGGGGATGCAGGACAGAAGTTAGAGATGGGGACCATGACCGTATAAACGGGTCCAGTTACCCGGGTTAGTCCCATTATTAATAGCTTTCACCCTCGAAAGTGTTGTGGTGTGGATGATGAATCGTATAATCACCCACTTTAAAGGATTTTAGAGTGTTGGATTGCAAACCGTGTTAAGAATAAAGAGGGGGAAATGTAGGCAAGAGGTGGGGGGCGGGGGAGAAGGAGGAATTAAGTGAATGGGAAGAGCTAGTTCGTGGGTGGACGGTCCAGAGGTTGTGGTTAGGTGAGGTGTGGACTCCAGTTTATAGGTCCTGAAGGAGGAGCATGCCTCATGGGAAGCTCTTAGATGTATCAAGTCAGGGGTGTCACACATCCCTCTCTGAGGCCAATCTAAAACAGCGGCAGTTATTTAAAAAGAGTAACACAGGTAACCTGGGTTTCAGTTTATGAGATACACTCTAGAAATCACACTGGACAGTAAGTGCAGGTCAGTCTGCATTCTGACCAAACTGGTGAAATCTGTGAATTACTGGTTCAGCATCATTTGCAAAGAACTATAGAGTGGTCCTCAGGGTGGGGTTCTGAGACTCCTGGAGGGTGCTTGAGACCTTTTCGGGGGCAGGGGGAGTCTGTGAGATCAAGACAGTTTTTATATAGTAAGATAGTAAGATGTTACTTTCCTTTTTCCATTGTATTGACATTTCTACTGAAGTGCAAAGCAATGGTGGGTGAAACTGCTAATCTTTTTTTTTTTTTTTTTTTTTTTTTTTCCTTGAGACAGAGTCTCGCTCTGTTGCTCAGGTTGGAGTGCAGTGGCATGATCTCGGCTCACTGCAACCTCCACCTCCCAGGTTCAAGCAGTTCTCATGCCTCGCCTCCTATCTGGGATTACTTCCGTGTGCCACCACGCCCAAGCTAATTTTTGTATTTTTAGTAGAGACAGGTTTTTGCCATGTTGGCCAGGATGATCTCGAACTCCTGACCCCAGGTAATCTGCCCACCTTGACTACAGGTGTGAGCCACCGTGTCCAGCCAAAACTGCTAGTCTTTAGCGTGCATCCAGGCAGTGCTACCAAATTGTATGAGTAGTCATTGTATTCTTCACTGCTCTGTCATCAGTTTTAAACATGCCGGTTTTCTGTTAGCATGCCCTTGGTGACATAGTCAAAATCATAAATCTTATTAAACCTAGACTCTTAAGTCTTTAGTAGTCTGTGGGACAAAAGAGGAAATACATAGAAAGTATTTCTGTGGAATATAGAATTTTGAAGGAAAAGCCCTTGCTCCCATTCTTCGAGTTAAGACTGAACTGAACCAACTGCTTTTATGCTTTTTACTTGAACAAACAGCTGGGAGACGTGATTATTCAGACCCGGATGTTTGGCAGGCACTGTCTTGAAAATGAATGAAGTGAGCCTGTCACTTCAAGAAAAACAACTGCCAGTCTTTGTTGCTAATGATAAAATGAGCTTTCAAGTGAAAATTTGAATTTTGGAAAGTTGCCTGCCACTGTGAACGTGACAACTTCCTAGTACTTAAAGACTCTTCAGGCTGAGTTCGATGATGAGATTAGTGAATGGGATTTTTCAGTGCTGCAAAATGAGAGGTAACAATATTGAGAAAGTTTGCATAACTCAGTGAACTATGTTCCAAGTGATGGACGTCGTAAGATCAGGCATGGCTTAGAGATCCATTCAAAGTGCAAGAGGGAGCTTTGGGTTTTAGTGTAACAGAGTATGGAAGGTTCACCAGTATCATTTCAGATTACACATCGCAACTGACCCCTGAAGAACTACCACTTGTTGAATTTTGGTGTGGTCAGGAAGAATGTCTGAATTTTTTATTTTTTTGAGATACAGTCTCTGTTGCCCAGGCTGGAGTGCAGTGGCATGATCTCGGCTCAACCTCCCCCTCCTGGGCTCAAGTGATTCTCCTGCCTCAGCCTCCTGAGTAGCTGGGATTACAGGCATGCACCACCACGCCCAGCTAAGTTTTGTATTTTTAGTAGAGACGGGGTTTCACCATGTTGGCCAGGATGGTCTCAAACTCCTGACCGCAGAATCTGCCCGCCTCGGCCTCCCAAAGTGCTGGGATTACAGGTGTGAGCCACCACGCCCAGCTGAAATATTTTTTTAAAAATATTATTCGAAAGGCTATTAAAATACTCCTTCCTTTTCCAGCTGTGTATTCTGTGAAGCCAGATTTTCTTCCTAACATCCAGCAACTGACAGGATGCAAACTATATGAGAATCCTTCTATTAAGGAAATTTGAACAATATGGTGCTACTCTTCTCACTACATTTTTTTGACGGGGGATTGATAAATATAGTTAATTTTAGAAAAGTTATGTTAATATATGTTTAATTGTTATTTGTAAATTTTAAAAATAAGTATTGACATTTTTTCCATTTTAATTTCTAATCTGGTAAATATCAGTACAATCCACATAAACAAGAGCTCTTGGGAGTCCTCAATAATTTTTATGAGTCAAAAGAGGTCTGGAAATAAAAGTTTGAGATCGCTGCTTTAGAACACTGTTTTTCAGCCTTGATGGGCACCAGGATCATGTGTAGTCTTAAAAATTACCACCACGTTGGTCTCACGTTTAGTGCTTCTGTTTGAACTCATCTGGGATGCAGTGCGAGCATGGTGATTTTTTTCAGGCTCCCCAGGTGATGCCAACATGTAGCCGGGGTGGGAAGCACAGCACTAGGCAGATGCTGGAGACAATCAGGCCCTGGGTTTGTCAGTATCAACTGTATTGCAGGCACTGTTCTTAGTGCTGGAGGTAGGGCAGTGAACAAATAGAGAAGTCCCCCCTTCCCTCAGGGAGCAGGAGAGACATCTCTTCCCCTTCCAGGAGGGGAGATGGTTAAGCAGGTAGACAAATAAGTGTTACCTTTCTTAGAGCTGGGGGTGGACCTCATGAAATACCAGGGCCAGGGTGCAGTGGAGTCGTGATGTGCCTGTTTGCTTTGCCTTCAGACCAGGTTTTGGCCCCGGTTTGCTGCAGTCTTCAGAGCTGGTGCCTCCTGACCCCCAGCAGTCACAGGGGTCCGCCGAAGCCCCGTTTGCTGCCCGAGGGATCTACTCAGAGGAGATGCCGTCAGTGGCCCGGCCTCGGCCTGTCGGGGGCACCACAGGTATATGTGGCTATTTAGCTTGCATTTCTGAGCTATGGGGCATTTACTTTTTGGCTAAATGGAAAGAAACTTGATTTTGGGCTTCTCAGAGTGTCAGCGTCCAGCGTGCAGGGGCCTCTGCCGTTTTTCAGGGATGTTTCTGCTCAGATCCTGACCGAGATGGAGGTGGGAAGGGAGAGAGAGGCTGAGCTCCACAGCTGCTGTCTGCCGATTGGCTCTGGAACCAGCCCCTCCGTGTGAAATTCATGGCTCGCTCCCTCCAGGAAAAACGCTTCCAAATCCTTACTGTAAATGAAAGATCTCGCTCTGAGCACTTTGGATGGCATGAAAACAAGAGTCAGTTTTAAAGAAGTTGCGTTTTTCAGCTTGTAACGAACAACTCTCAGAGTCTGGGTGACAGAGCAAAACTCTATCTCAAAACCAAACAAAAGCAAGTAGTTTAAGCCAATTCTAAATTTGCAATAATTGGTTGATATTTTTTCATTATGATTTTTCTAGGAAATTCTTTTATTTTACATTGTCTATTAGTCTGCAAAACAAATCATGTCTCCTGGAATCCTATAGGATTTCCTGAACTTTATAGGTGCTTTGGTCTGCAGTGAGTCTTGATTCCCCTGTTAATTGCTAGATCTTTGAACCTCCCTACATGGCATATTTACTAAGAAAAATTAAGATATATTAATTTTTAATTTAAAATCTGAACGAGCTGGGTGCGATGGCATGTGCCTGTAGTCCCAGCTACTTGGGAGGCTGAGGTAGGAGGATCGCTTGAGCCCAGGAGTTCTGGGCTGTAATGCGCTATGCCAATTGGGTGTCCGCACTAAGTTCAGCATCAATATGGTGACCTCGAGGAGCGGAGGACCACCAGGTTGCCTAAGGAGGGGTGAACTGGCCCAGGTCGGAAACGTAGCAGGTCAAAACTCCCATGCTGATCAGTGGCAGGATTGCACCTATGAGTAGCCACTGCACTCCAGGCTGGGCAACATAGTGAGACTCCATCTCTTAAAAAAAAAAAAATTTTTTTTAATCTGAAAGAATATAGAAATTACACATATAAAACATTCAAAAGGAAATTATTTTTAAATTTCTATTAGATGAAATTATGTAAAAATTTATGGAAAATGTTTAAGATCTATTAGGAGGATTACCTTTTTAACTATAGAACTTTATGACACATGTATATGTCTGAAAATTGCCAATTATTTTCAAAAAAAGAAAATAGCACCTAGGAGAAATTTATAGCACCTCACAATCAAGAAGTATTTTTATTGTAGAAGATACCTCATATAAATTAAGTGGGCCAACCTGAAAAGGTCAGTGGGAAAAGGAAAAAGGTCCAGTTTTTAAATTATTTTAAAAATGAAAATTAATACCATAATGCACCATTTCAATCATGAAATTATTTTTATAATGTGGTATGGTAAAATTAGCATCCAGTTTCTTCATCTGTGCTACGGATATTTGTACTCACCTCCTTGGTGGTTTGGCTGATAAAAGAAGAAGACAGAAGTGCTTGAAATAGTGCCTGGCATAGCAGAAACTTTCAGTATATATCAGCTGCCATGACTGTCGTCACTATTATTCTCAGTGGTGGCATAAATTATTAAACATTTGGAAAGCAATCTGGCAGTTGGACTTACCAAGCTTTGATTTGGTAATTCCAGTTTTGGAAATCCGGGCTCACTCTCCTAAAATCCAAAATATTGGGGGAAAATTACATGTGTCAAGATATTTATCACAGCATTATTTGCATAATAGCAAAATATTGTTAGCTTCCCTAGATATACCTAGTAGGAAGGGCATCCCTGAGGAAATCGTGCAGCTACTTAAGATGAAGAGGGCATAAAAAGCCAGAAAAGGGGAATTTGAGATTTACCAGTTGCTTCCTATGCATTTGATGCTTGATCTGTTTTATCTCTTTTTAATCCTTGAAATAACCCTCTAGGGTAGATTTTTTTTTCTTTTTTTCTGTTCTTGTTACCCAGGCTGGAGTGCAATAGTGCGATCTCAGCTCACTGCAACCTCCGCCTCCTGGGTTCAGGCAATTCTCCTGCCTCAGCCTCCTGAGTAGCTGGGATTACAGGCACGTGCCACCATGCCCAGCTAATTTTTTGTATTTTTAGTAGAGACGGGGTTTCACCATGTTGACCAGGATGGTCTCGATCTCTTGACCTCATGATTCACCCGCCTCAGCCTCCCAAAGTGCTGGGATTACAGGTGTGAGCCACTGCGCCCGGCCCCCAGATTTTTTTTTTTCTTTTCTTTCTTTTTTTTTTTTTTTGAGAGGAAGTTTTTGCTCTGTCACCCAGGATGGAGTGAAGTGGCACTATCTCATTTCACTGCAACCTCCGCCTCCTGGGTTCAAGTGATTCTTCTACCTCAGCCTCCTGAGTAGCTGGGATTACAGGTGCATGCCACCACAACCAGCAAATTTTTGTATTTTTAGTAGAGATGGCGTTTCACTATGTCGACCAGGCTGATTGTGAACTCCTGCCTTGGTCTCCCAAAGTGCTGGGATTACAGGCGTGAGCCACCATGCCCGGCTGAGGTAGACTTTTTATCCCTGCTGGAGAAGTGAGGAATCAAGGCTCAGCGGTAGCCATAGCCAGTCACTCACGGTCACAAGGCTTGTTGGTGGCTGAGCTGGAATGCAAACTCCAGCTTGCTGGGCTCAGTGCTGACTTACGGGGGGAAGCCTGTGCTGTGTTGTTAAGTGAACAACGCAGGATACAAAAATCCTACCAAATGATGATTTCCGCTACTATAGTGGCTTTCCACAGGAGGTGTGCTTTTCTCCCTGTGCAGTTGGTTGAGCCTTTGGAAATGGTGGCAACAGTGCGCTGTTCTTACAGCATTTTGCAAGATTTGCTCAAACAACGCCCATTGGGCAAGGAGCGCTAGTAGTCCTGATCATTTTAATACCGTTCGGGTTTTTCAATAACTGACCTGGTGCTCCAGTAGAGTGCATTGCTCTGCCCAGAGCCATGACAGCTTTTCCTGACTTTAATTATCGTTAAATATCCAAATAAAACCATTAAGGAGTTCTGTTTTTTTTTAATGTGGTTGATTATTGGAGGTTGTTGGTCAGGTATTGTAGCTCACAGCTGTAATCCCATCATGGTGGGTGGCCAAAATGGGAGGATCGCTTGAGGCTAGGAAGAGTTCAAGACCAGCCCGGCCAACATAGTGAGACCCCATCTCTTAAAGAATTGAGAGAATTGAGGTCGTTAATTAGGCAACTGGAGTCAGGATAGACTGAAAGATGGAGGAGGTGCCTCCCTTAGCTTTGGGCGCTTGGAGCCGTTGTAGCGCCAGTTGGAGCATCACAGGTGCGTTTGATGATACCAGATTTGGAAATTTTTTTTTTTTTTTTTTGGAGATAAGAGTCTCACTCTGTGGTCCAGGCTGGAGTGCAGTGGCATGATCTCGGCTCACTGCAACCTCTGCCTCCCAGGTTCAAGTAATTCTCCTGCCTCAGCCTCCCGAGTAGCTGGGATTACAGGTGCCCGCCACCAGGCCAGGCTAATTTTTGTATTTTTAGTAGAGACAGGGTTTTACCAGGTTGGCCAGGCTGGTCTTGGACTTCTGACCTCAGTTGATCCACCTGCCTCAGCCTCCCAGAGTGCTTGGATTACAGGCGTGAGCCACCGCGCCCAGCCAGAAATAAGTATTCTGTTTCACAGTACTTAAGGATCACTTTTTTTCTCTCTTAATTTGCAGTATAGGTGTATTTCCATATGCCACAAGTTGATGAGGAAGAAAACTATTGTTGATTACCTGGCTTCCATAGCCACAGGAGGCTGCAGATGTCTGAACATATGAGTGTAATAGAGTAATTAGCTCTACAGAGTCCTCTGGCTCTGTCACCAGCTCACTGCACCGATGAAACTGGGGGACTGGTTTTAATTATATTGTGGCTACATTACAGACACTATATGAGTTATAATGAATATATACTTCAAAATGCTGAATTTAAATACACATATATCCTGCCTTTTAAGGAAAAAAATAAGCGTATTGTATATCCAGGTTCCTTGTGAATCTCAAAGCCACAAGCAAGAAAGAGCCAGGCTTCAGCTTCACGATGACTCCAAACCTTTCACTCCTTTCTTAATTGATGAGCTGCTCTTTATTGGTAACCTCTACAGAGGTGAATGGAAGAACCTTCTGTTTTGCCATTTATCCCCAGTCCTGATGTCTAGCCACGAAAATAAGGGCAAGCACTGTCAGCCTCTGAATTCAAAGGAAATCAGAGTCGAGCAACCAAGAAGCTCATGGTCTGTTTCTCTTAGGAAATACCATTTCTGGAGATAGAACTGGTACCAAGTCATGATTCCTTGTCCTTAAGGAGTGCACTGGTCAGAGCTGAGCGTGTCTTCTGACAGGGTGTTTTGGGGGGAATACACCCTGCCTAGGCATGGGGAACCCGTGGGGAAACAGTTGTATCAGGGCTGGGATGGGGGTTCCACTGGGCTGTTGCTGTGCTCACGGGGAGGAGGGGTCACCCTCACGCAGCACTTCAGGAGAGGAGCCAGCAAGCTTTCTGATGGGCTGCTAGGAAGCGCATGGGAAAGAGGAATTGGGGATAGGGTATCGTTTTTTAGATCTGAGCAAGTAGGACTGCATAGTCCTGTGTGGAAATGGGGATGGTGAAATGGGGGACAGGCTTAGGCAGGGGTGAATGTTGAGGAGTCAAGAATTCTGTTTCAGACTTTCTGCAATGGGATTTTCTTCTTTCATTTGTTTATTCTGATCGCTTGGTCCACGTTGCTTCGTGGTGCATTTCCCTACCTCCCGGACCCTCAGGAAATGCGGACAGTATGGCCGTTGAGGTGAGATTTCTGGAGCTAGAACTGGTACCAAGTCATGACCCCTAGTCCTGAAGGAGTGCAGTGGTCGGAGCTGACAGTGTCTTCCTCAGCAGCCACACTTGCCTAAAATGTTGACCAGGCCACTCCACCGTGTTCTTCCAGGCTCCCAGATCCAGCACCTGACGCAGGTGGGAATTGCCAGCAGAATGGGAGCTCAGCCGGTAGAAATCCCATCAAGCAGAGGCAGCCAGTATGGGGCGCCAGGCTGGCCTTCGTACGGGGAAGATGAAGCGGGGCGAAGAGAGGCCGTGAGTATCTCCTGTTTGAGTCGCCAATTAAAATTTAGTTATAGGCCGGGCATGGTGGCTCACACCTGTAATCTCAGCACTTTAGGGGGCTGAGGGGTCAGATCATGAGGTCAGGAGTTCAAGACCAGCCTGGCCAACATAGTGAAACCAGATCTCTACTAAAAATACAAAAAAACCCCACAAAAATTAGCTGGGCGTGGTGGCGGGTGCCTGTAGTCTTAGCTACTTCGGAGGCTGAGGCAGGAGAATCACTTGAACCCGGAAGGCGGAGGTTGTAGTGAGGCGAGATTGTACCGCAGCACTCTAGCCTGAGTGACAGAGTGAGACTCCGTCTCAAAGAAAAACAAATGTAGACACAATCCCTCAATTTAGCAGCTTCTGCTTTGTGGGTCCCTTTTTAAAACCGACGTCAAAAAAAACTTCAGATCTCTCTCACGTTTCCCAATTGCTTGTGTTTCGGTTTACGGTTTTAGCATCTCGCTTTGGGGAAGTATATAATTTTTCTTGAGGCAGAGTTCAAGCTTTCAGTAGTAAATTTGAATCTGTAGTTGACTAAACTCTGGAGTTCATGTTTGGTGGGATCGCCGTATAGAAATTCCTGCCCTTCCACAGCATTGGTGATTCATTGTGGGTTTATTAACGTCATTTGTATTGTGACCATGAGTAGGTAATTCTGTAATAAGCACACAGTTGGGGACATTTTAAGACACAGGCTTTCTTTGTGAGACTTCTGTTCGCTCACTCAGTATGAGCACCAGTGATTCCTGCAAATGCTTTCATTTGCTTTTCTCAAGAACTGTACATCCTGGGGGAATAAATTAATGAAGTTGAAAATGAAAACCAGAATATTCCATTTTGTTTTATCCTTATCGTTATGCTATAGCTTTCGTTGCATTTCTGTACCTTCCCAACAGACACACCAAATTCCTTTCATAGTTGGACGCTCTTGTGTAATGAAAGGACACTCACTAACTTTAGAATATGACGTTTCCCTAAAAGAGCCATTGTTATAGTCTCAGATATCTGCTTTAAGTTTGCTACCATTTTTCTTTTTTTTGTCTTCATGTTGCCCAGCTTAGCTTCATGAGGTGTTTGGGGTTGGATTTGGTGTTTTGCTTTTTTTTAAAAAAAAAAAAAAAAAAAAAAATGGAGACAGGGTCTCACTATGTTGACCAGGCTGGTCTTGAACACCTGGCCTCAAGGCAGTCCTCTCTCCTTGACCTCCCAAAGGATTGGAATTCCAGGCGTGAGCCACCGTGCCTGGCGTGGGGTGTTAAGATTTTCCTGTCACATCCACTTTGGAGCACCACTTGGTCACTATTTGGAGCTGGAATGCCGTCTTTGGCTCATGAATCACTTGGCCCCAGCATATGTTGTTTAGTACACAGATTTAAGTACTCTTACATATAAATGCAAAGAGACATTTTTTTCCATTGAGAGAGAAAAAAAAAAAAAACATGAAAAAAAAATTCTGAAAGTGTAATAAATCTTGTGAAACTACTGCCAAATTAATCTGCATGCTGCAGATATCAGCAACACTATTTTATGCTTTAGTGCAGATAACTTTTTAAAGAAAAGGCTCTACAGAGCCCCCAGTAGACAGACAGACACACACACACACACACACACACACACACACACACACACACAGTACCTAGATAAAGCGGAAGATGGTGGTTTCGTGGGCTCCAGTCCAGGGCAGAGGCAGCTGCCCCCCTTGTCTGTCTTGCGTGGATCCCTTACCTCCTTCAGCAATCAGATTATCACGCGGCCTTTCACCTCCAGCCTCCCCGCTCCCTGTTCTCCCCCGCCCCCTGGTGTCTTCACCCCTCACCTCCACACGGGGGCGCAGGCAGCAGGGCCCTGTTGGAGGGCTGAGTTCGTGGACGGATGTGGGCGGTCCTGGGAACCTTCCCAAAGCCAGTTTGCACTTGACGTTCCCGCTTTTCCTTCTGTAGGAAGTACAGTAACGTTTGCCGTGTTTTTCAGACACACATGCTCGGACATCAAGAGTATTCTTCTTCACCGCTATTTCAGGTGCCAAGGACTTCAGGCAGGGAGCCCTCAGCTCCTCCCGGGAACCTCCCCCACCGGGGGCTGCAGGGCCCCGGGCTGGGTTACCCCACCAGCTCCACGGAGGACCTGCAGCCGGGCCACTCCTCAGCCTCTCTCATCAAAGCGATCCGCGAGGAGCTCCTCCGGCTCTCCCAGAAACAGAGCACCGTGCAGAACTTCCACAGCTGATCGGCCCGCCTCGCAGATTTGCCAAGTATCCGCTTCCCGTGGAAGCAAGACCGAAAGGAAATCAGCTGAGTGGGTGTTTGGAAGAGGAAGGAGCGCCTCCTGGGCAGCCTGCCCGCCGGAGGGAGCAAGTTGCGATGTCCAAGCTGCCAGAAGTCATGTGACAGCTCGCGCGCCTTTCACCGGGCTGGCAATTGTGTGACCACTTGGGTTCGGCTGAAATGTATGTACTTTGGCCACAAGCCAGCAGCACTTCACAAAAGCAAAACACAAAGCTAAGCTAACGCAAGGACTGCATTCGGCTCTTTTTTAAAGGCAGTGATTAAAATGTATAGACGGCATAGGGATGGAAGGAACCAAGCGTTTCCGTGGGATGGAGACTGGTACGCGTACGATGAACCTGCTGCTTTGTTTTCTGAGAAGAGGTTTGAAGACATTTTATGAACAGCCGGATTTTTCTCTTTTACTCCATAGGAACTTATTTTAATAGTAACATTAACGACAAGAATACTAAGACTGTTTGGGAATTTTGAAAAGCTACTAGTGAGAAACCAAATGATAGGTTGTAGAGCCTGATGACTCCACGCGAAGCCATCACCTGCATTCTTCCTCCTCCTTCTGGTGCTACAGTTCCAAGGGCCCTCCCCCTTCATGTCTGAAATGCAACTTTGGGTTTTTCAGTGGAAGAATAAGTTAAAGGTTTCATTTTGTCCTAGAAAAAAAAAGAAAAAATCCCTCCCAAAGCAGGGCAAAAAGCTGGATATTTATTTGGTTATCCCAAATACAGATCGAAGATTAGATCTCCGTTCTTAATTACTTTTGCTGTTTCCTAATTGGGCACACGTAACTCCTGGCCACATCCCAGCTCAGCACCGATCGCTAAGCCCAATCCTATAAAACGAGGCTTTGGAGAGGCCCTCACTGATCCTTTCTTCCCCTTTGCTGTTGATTTGTTCACAAATTATGTTTGAATGAGAAATCTTCTGTAAGCAGAAGTTATGTAATAATTCCCAGGACCACCAAATTGTTATGCCTACATCTCCACCAGTCACATGCCCTGTGTTCAAAACCTGGAAATGAAATTGAGTTCAGTTCAGCCTCTCTGTAACGAATCAAGCAATGTAAAACAGCTTTGGGACTTCAAGGGAAAGGAGAGAGTTGCTTCTCATTTCTGATTTTATTGTGCTGTTATTCTGTCGAGTGGCTATTAAAATGGTCTTATTCTCTTTGGGCCTAAGAGGGGATCATCTTGATGAAGATTTACTCCTGATGTAAACATTTCCCCACCATTCCAAATCATGGTAAAGAAAACAGTGACAAGGGCCTTTCTGTTTTCTGGTACCTGAGTGAAACTCAGAAGAAAAGCAGGCTTAGCTAAGAGATTTTTCACTATGAACCTGCTTTTATTAGATCAACGAATACAGTCATGCATCGCTTAACGATGGGGATGCATTCTGGGAAATGTGTCATCAGGCTGTTTTGTTGCTGTGCCAACATTCTAGAATGTACTTACACAACCTACATGGTCTAGCCTCCTACACACCTAGGCTGTGTGACATGGTCTATTGCTCTTAGGCTGCAAACCTGTACAGCATGTTACTGTGCTGAACACAATGGTATTTGTGTATCTAAACATATCTAAACATAGAAAAGGTATGATAAAAATACAGTTTTATAATCTTATGGGACTACCATCAATATGCAGACCGTCATTGACCAAAACATCCTTATGTGTGCATGACTGTACTTTTAATTGAACAACAGGTGAGGGGCTAGAATTTGGGACTCGGACTAGTCAAAACCTGTGTATCTGTGCCAAGTTTTGAGATCCCTAAAACAGCTAAAACAGGTTTCCAAAGTGGAATCACTGGATTTCAAAACCGTGTTTCAGGCCTGTCGTACAGATTTAGAGTCTTACAATCTGAGGAAAGTTGGTTCTGGGGAGTTACGGTGGAGCCAGTTTTCATCTGGATGCCCCTGAAACAGAAGGGGTGCAGGAGAGTAAGTCTCTCAAGGATGATAAAGGACGGGCGGCATCTTGTTGGGCGATCCTCAGAGGCTCCAAGGAGCACTGGAGAGAAGGGCTCCTTCTGGGTTTGAAGTCTTGGTCTTGGTTTAATACTAGACTCTCCCCAAACTGAAGGATTCTCTTTGCATGTCACTCAAAAATACCAGGTTTGCTGAATATTGTATTAGGAACTTCAGATATCTAAGTGGAATTTTATTCTGGACACCATATAGTGAATTCAAATCATGCGACAGCAAATGGGATAAATGGCCCTTTCTCTCCCAGTTCTGCTCGGTGCCATAAGGGTTTGCATATAGAGTATATTAAACATGGTGACCTCCTTTGAGCATTGCAGAAAGAGGGCTCTCTTTCAAAGTGGGCTGATTGTAACAGCAATTTTGATGCCTTTCAAACTACCATAAAGGGATTTTAACTGTATTTTTATTCTTAGAAACAATACACCTTTAAACAGATGTCCAGACCAAAGATGATGTGTAATAAACAGCCGGCGGTTGTGGGGTGGTGTGAGCAGGCCCCCGGGTGCCCCGATCACCGGCACCCTGTCGGTGGTCATAAAGCACACGTGGTATGTACTTGCTTCCTCCCAAGGCCTGCCGCAACAGTTTCACCAATCACCAAACTCAGAACAAACCAGCTGTGTGGGCAGCACCATCCCCCCAGTCGTCTTCAGACACTCAGTTAACGTGATCCGTGAAAAGAAGGTCCTCGTCTGGATGGTGTGTGGCTTTGGAGTCCATTTCTGGAAGCACTCTACCATGAACAGCTGAATTTCGTGTCTCTTCTTTTTTCCTATTTTAAAACGTTCTAGTGGTAACACAAACTGTACATTTGAGTCAGAATGTTTGGAGACATGATCGTTTTTTTCAGAGTCTACTTTGTCACTCACTGACCGTGTCAGATTCCTTCTCTGAACTTCATTCTCTCCATCAGCCAAACAAGAACAGGCCTCCCCCGCCACCTTCCAGGCTCCCCAGTTGTGAGAATCAGATGCGATCATGTGTGCAAATGTTCTGTGAGGAGGGAGCATAAAGCACCGTGAAAATGTAACGTGCTGTCGATGCGGATGCCCTAGGATGAGCATTGTGATACGCTACGCCCCTGCAGTGAGTGGCTTCACACGTGGCTAATGAGCAAAACAAAGTTCCATGTGACTCATCTTCCTCACTCCCATTTTGCTTTAAATTCCCTTCCTTCGCTAATTTTCAAATGGCATTTATTAAGCATCTTTCTGCTCCCGACTTTCTGGCGTCTCTGGCCCCAAATAAGCCAGCAGACATGAGCCTTGCCTTCTGAGATTTTAGAACCTAAGATAGTACGAGTGGGTATAAAAGCTGGAAGATGCAGATAAATAGCATCAATAAGATTGATTCAAAGAGGTCAGGCGTGGTGGCTCATGCCTGTAATCCCAGCACTTAGGGCGGGCGAAGCAGGTGGATCACTTGAGATCAGGAGTTTGAAACCAGCCTGGCCAACATGGTAAAACCCCGTCTCTCCAAAAAATACAAAAATTAGCTGGGTATGGTGGTACTTCCTGTAGTCCCAGCTGAGGCATGAGAATCGCCTAAACCTAGGCGACAGAGATTGCAGTGAGCTGAGATTGCACCACTGCACACCAGCCTGGGTGACAGAGCAAGAGTCTCTCAAAAAGAAAAAAAGACACGAATGCATTAGGTACCCAGAAGAAGTTGCAGAAGTTGCAGGTTTGGAAATGCGGGATCTGGGGAGGAGCCGTCCACTTCAGAAGTGACTTTGAAGGCAGGGCAGCTACCCAGGCAAATGGTGTGGAAGGAAGAGCCGAGCGTAGGCCTGGGAAAGGCTATAGGCATGGGGTGCAGCTGCCAGTGAAAACGAACCTGATCTTGATCCACTTTAGTATGGGGACACAATCCCCGACTCCACTACTGAGGGAGTTTTAGAAGAGAAGGAAGAGGTGCTGGGAGGGTGCTTTTGCAGTCATACAGCAAGGAAATGACTAGGGCTGTGAAGATCTACAGAGGAAGTGCTCAGTGTGAGGGTGAGGGCAAGGGAAGAGGATGAAAATGATGAGAAAGACATTGAGGTCGTCGTTTCGAGCCGATCTCGGCAGTGTTTGGCCACGCCAAATCCTTTGTGGAGCATAGTGAGTTATCAGTATATATATTCAGCTTTTTTACAGCTACCTACAGGTTTTCTCCAAATTTTGTTAATTTCGTAGTGTTTTGATTTGGGTGGCTTTTAAGCTGCGGGTGTTTGCCAGCCAGATATTTCCTGGCATGCAGCCTGTGAAGCAAAGCACAGGTGAAGGCAGGCACGAAAGCTTTGGGCTAAAACCAGCAGTTCTTTGCTGTAGCAGTCTCTCATTTCCTGCGGACGGGGTCACTGGTCCTGCATTTGCACAGTAAGTGCTCCAGTGACCAAACCAGTCACTCGGACACTGATATGCAATGCATTAGTGGTCATTCACAAATTAATCATTACATAAGCCTCTCCTACCCCTTTCATACTAGATTCTCAGACATGAATGAATTTGCCGTTGGGAAGGAAAGCTGGTTAAGGTTCTGGGCACAGAGGTAGGGGGACTCCAGTCTTAACTCCCACGCTAACTTTAGTGGAGTTTTCACTGTTGTCATTTCTACCTCCGGAGCAAGTCTCCAACACCAGTCCCAGAGCCTGCTTATCCATATTTGCCCTGGCCGGGAGCAGGAGAAAGTTCACTTCTGCACCAGCAGACAGCATGTGAACACAAAACACATTTCTATGGCATAGTCAGTTGAACTTCATTTTTACATTTAACATGTTAACACATTCTAACAGGGTTTCTATAAGCAGCTGCTATAACATAAAATGTAATAGATTTAACGCTTGTTATCTAATGAACAAGGAGTGTGTGTACTTCAGGTTTCTTTTGATATTCTTGGAGGTGATTGTCAGTGTTTAAGTAGGACTACTTTCTTCACTATGAAGATGACTTGAAAATTGCAACATCATGGTACATTGCTAAGTTCATGCCTGTGTGTTTGACAGTGGGCTTGATCATTTATCTTAAAACACAGCAGCATTGAAATTTTGGAAAAGAATGTTAAATGCCTTTGGAAACATGAAATAAAGTTAGGAGCCAGTGAGAAAGTGACAAGCAATGAATGTCTTAATGCACTATAGTTAAAATGGCTTCCCACAGGGTAGAGAATTATCCAGGATCCTTACTTTTCCTTCTTCCTCTAGGTCTTTCAGGGGTCACTTCACATTTCTAAAAAACAGTGAGTAGTCTGGGCCTGGTGGCTCATGCCTCTAATCTCGACACTTTGGGAGGCTGAGACAGGAGGATTGCTTGAGGCCAGGAGTTTGAAACCAGCTTGGGCAACATAGTGAGACCCCGTCTCTACAAAAAAAATTTAAAAATGAGCTTGGCATGGTGGCATGTGCCAGTAGTCCCAGCTACTCAAAAGGCTAAGACCGGAGGATTGCTTGAGCCAAGGAGTTGGAGGCTGCAGTGAGCTATGATCATGTCACTGCACCCCAGACTGGGCTACAGGGTGATGTCCCATCTCTTAAAAAAAAAAAAAAAAAAAAAAAAAAAAAAAAAAAAAGGAGTGAATAGGTAAAAGGGACAGAGGTGAAATTTTGAGTGATTTGAGTCTCTTGCAGTCTCTGATTACGCAGAACCTTTCTGGGCTACTTGAGCGTCAGGATAGTCTTTCTAGTACTTGCCAGATTTCAAGTATTCATAACTTGACTCCCTAAGTGTACAAGTTGGAAACAGTACAGAGCCAAGTTCAAGTCACATACCCTGGGCTGTGCCTCCTGCAAATGCGGGGAGAGAAGAGGGAGGTACTAGAGGAATTGAGGCTCCACTCACTCACTTAGTTGCTCTAAGTACGGGAGAACGCGTTTCAGAGAAGGGGAGTAGAAACACCCTCCACTCTGCCCTCCTCCGGAGCGTCTCTGGGACGCATGGAGCCTGGGCTAGCGTGAACAGGAAAGGTTGCTCGGCACAGCTGCCCTGGCGTGCCGATTTGTCTCCCCCTCCTTTGCCAAGGAGGCTCTTCCTGCACACTCATTCCTAGATTATGAGCGTTCATGTACGAAAATGTGCAGAGCAAATTGAGGCCACCTGTGGCGTCAATACTGCAACTTAAAACTTGACAATCATAGTTTGCTGGTCTCAAACAGGCACTTAAATCTCAGTATGGGTATACGATTTAATAATCGACCCCTCCCTTCTATTTGTCGGTTATGTTTCTATTCTTCAATAGCTGCACTGTTTTCTAATGTGCTGTAGAGTTTTTGAAATAATTTATGCAAGTATTTGGTTTCCATGTTTACAGTTTATACAGCTTTCCTAGCATTTTAAATGGAAATGTCAATAAATGCTATGAATTGGTGTCAAAGTGATATTTTCTGTTGATTTCCTTTGCAACGTGATTGTTTTCTTGTTTGTAAAACGTGAGATGTTGGATGAGATGATCTTTCTGTTCTCTAATTTGGTGTCTCTGGTGAGAACATCTAGTCTTTTGTTACTGGTGGAGGGTGTCCAGGTTTTTGGCGTCTTGAACAAAGAATTGGACAAAACTCAAAAGCAAGGAAAGAATGAAGAAATATGTAGAAAATGAAAATACACCCCACAGTGTGGGAGCGGGCCTGAGCATAGGGGCTCAAGGACCCCGTTACAGAATTTGTGGGGGTTTAAACACTCTCTAGGGGTTTCCATTGGTGTACGCCCTATGTAAATGAAGAGGATTAAGTAAAGTCACGCGGTCAATACAATACCCTGTGGAGATCTTTCCTGTCCTAGCTGAAGGGTGACTCGGCCTTCTGTTCCCTATCTCCGGACCCCATTTTCCTGCCTCACTTTCATTGTCCAGGGAATTCAGTTGAAGGTATTGTATTCAGTGTGTGGAATTTGCAGACTTGTTTTCACTCCTGTTGGCCTGTGCCACTCCTTTCTACTCCGTTTAATTTGACTGCTACCCCCTTATCAAATGCATGGACTCCCTAAGAGCAGATTCAGCTTGAAATTAAAACATGAGTACCATACAGTTTAGAAAGAGGAGAAGATCAAAGTCCACACAGACTTGAAAGGTAATAGGGTAAACCCGGAGTTGTTTACAAAACCCAAGACAACAAGAATCCCTTGAAACTTAGAAAAGAGGATGGGCATGGTGATTCATACCTGTCGTTCCAGCACTCTGGGAGGCCGAGGCGAGTGGATCACTTGAGGCCAGGAGTTTGAGACCAGCCTGGCCAACATAGCTTAACCCCATCTGTAATAAAAGTACAAAAAAAGGAATTAGCTGTGCGTAGTGATGGGCACCTTTAATCCCAGCTACTTGGGAGGCTGAAGCAGGAGAATTGCTTGAACCCGGTAGGCGGAGGTTGCAGGGAGTCAAGATCGTGCCACTGCATTCCAGCCTGGGAGACAGAATGCAACTCTGTCTCAAAACCAAACCAAACCCCAAAAACAGAACTCAAGAAAAGGAAAAGGAACTCAAAACGCAGTGGAATATGTGGAATATAACAACTAAATGACGCAGAATCCTGGATAGGATCTTGTAATGACAGCAATCACAAAAAGAGAACATTAGTGGGAAAACAGGAAACCCAAATAAAGTCTATAGCTAATAGTGTTGTGCAAAGATTAATGTATTGGTTTTGCTAACTTTATTATGGTTATTGAGATTTTAATGTTAGAGGAAGCTATGTAAAAGGTATCCTGAAACCCTCCGAATCACTTTTGCATCTTTTTTTCTAAATCTAAAAGTATTTAAAATTATAAACATGAGCCAGGCGTGGTGGTTTATGCCTGTAATCCCAGCACTTTGGGAGGCTGAGGTGGGTGGATTACAAGGTCAGGAGTTCAAGACCAACCTGGCCAACTTGGTGAAACCCCCTCTCTACTAAAATTACAAAAATTTGCCGGGCGTGGTGGCACATGCCTGTAATCCCAGCTACTCAGGAGGCTGAGGCAGGAGAATCCCTTGAACCCGGGAGGTGGAGGTTGCATCACAACACTGCACCCCAGCCTGGGTGACAGAGCGAGACTCCATCTCAAAAAAGAAAAAACAAACAAACAAACAATTATTATATATATTTATATAAACAGGAATCTGGCACAGATTAAAGCCCACAGACCTTCTGCAGAGGCTAATATAATCCTGGCCTGTGCATCTACAACCCAGTGACTGCAGCATGTCTCAGGGTAAGCTGCTAACTTTGAAACCACAGTTAACAATTCCAAGTCTTGGCAGAAAATAAGCCTTCAAGAAGGAGAGCTCATGGGATCAACCAAAAGGATAATTTAAATCTAAAAATTCAAGAAAATAGGCCAGTATGAAAGAGATAAATAATGTTAGATGTTTAAAGAGATTAAAAAGAACTAAGAACAGGATATTACATAAAGGTCTAAGCAAATTTGCCAAAACCAAAAATAAGTTCTCAGAAGAAAATGACTTTTTTTTTTTTTTTGAGACAGAGTCTTGCACTGTTCCACAGGCTGAAGTGCAGTGATGCAATCTCAGCTCACTGCAACCTCTGCCTCCCAGGTTCAAGCTATTCTCATGCTGCAGCCTCCCAAATAGATGGGACTACAGGTGTACACCACCACGCCTGGCTAATTTTTGTATTTTTAGTAGGGACAGGGTTTCACCATGTTGGTGGGCTGCTGTCTATCTCAGCTCACTGCCACCTCTGCCTCCCAGGTTCAAGCAATTCTCCTGCCTCAGCCTCCCAAGTAACTGGGATTACAGGTGCCCACTACCACTCCCAGCTAATTTTTGTATTTTTAGTAGAGATGGGGTTTCACCATGTTGGTGGGCTGGTATCGAACTCCTAGCCTCAAGCAGTCTACCCACCTCAGCCTCCCAAAGTGTTGGGACTGCAGGCGTGAGTCAGGCTGCACCCATCCAGAAAGTAAATTTTTAAAGAACACAATATACACACAGTGGTCAGATATTTTAATATTTTACACATAGCTGAAGAAATAATTATAACAGTTTTAATTAATAACTTTATGTTTTAATCTAACTTTAGATAGAAAACAACAAAAATAGTGGAAACTAACTGGTAGAACTTACTACCCTACAAGATTTTATATGCTCCAAATGGAAATGGAAATGATAGAAGAGCAAGGAGTTTCTAGAAACGGGTAAGACTTACAAGAAAGGGCAGGCTGGTCCCACACTCACAGCCTGAACCCTGAGTTTAAATGAATATAGCTGGGTGTGGTGGCTCACGCCTGTAATCCCAGCACTTTGGGAGGCTGAGGCAGGTGGATCACCTGAGGTTGGGAGTTTGAGACCAGCCTGAGCAATATGGAGAAACCCTGTCCCTACTAAAAATACAAAATTAGCCGGGTGTGGTGGCACATGCCTGCAATCCCAGCTACTTGGGAGGCTGAGGCAGGAGAATGACTTGAACCCGGGAGGCGGAGGTTGCAGTGAGCACAGTAGTACAGAATGCAATACTATTCTGTTTTTTGAAAAAGTGTACAAAGTGATTGTGCCATTGCACTTCAGCCTGGGCAACAAGAGCAAAACTCCGTCTCGAATAAATAAATAAATAAATAAATATGGATTTGAGCCATAATTGGCATTTCTTGTCTCTCTCTCTCTCCTCTTCCTCCTTGCAGCTGCCAAGCAGAGCTTAAAGTATAAAGAAAAGAATAACAAGAACAGAGCTCCTTTTGTTCAGCTTCTGAGTTAGGTAAATTAATGAAACATTCTCATTGGATGATGCCCTATTAAGTAACTTGCTTCCCCTACAGAACTGTAGCACTTTCCTTGCCACACCCATCCCGGAATAAATGGAAGTGGGTGAGTTTGATTTCTCTACTGCTAAAGACTTGAAAAATTATAGCTACAAACCTAGGTAAACCACATTTGTGTAGCTGAACTATTTTTTGTTGTACTCGTGCCTAAGTATAGCGTTACAGAAGTGTAAAACACAGAACCTATTTGGAAACTTGGGAAGTTGTTTCTGAGTGCCTGGAAGTTGTTTCTTGTTCCATCAGTATCTTGAAAATATGCATGAGTGTAAGTCCAGGTATATGTTGAAGATACTGCAAATTCGGTTCCAGACCACTGCAGTAAAGCAAATCATGAACTTTGTGATTTTCCACTGTATACAGAAGCTATATGTACACTATGCTGTAGCCTATTAGGTATGCAATACTATTCTGTTTTTTAAAAAAGTGTACGTGCTCTAATTTAAAAATACTTTGCTGTTGAAAATGCTAACAATTCTCTGAGCCTTCAGCAGGTCATAATCTTTTTGCCGGTGGAGTGTCTTGCCTCCCTGTTGATGGCTGCTTTCTGATCAGGTGGTGGTTGATGAAGGTTGGAGTGGCTGTGACAATTTCTTAAAATGCACGACTTCTTAAAATGCACAATTTCTTAAGATGAACTTTGCCACATCAATGGTGTCGGAAATAGATGCTTGGTGCCGCAAAGAAAAATTAGCACTGAGACAAAGGGTCTTTCAGCAACGCAATTTTTACTTCCTGGACTGCAGGAAGAGTACTCTCACTAGCCATCTTGCCATAAGAGTATAACGAA